AGGATAGCTTTATTTCTTTTTGGTGATATACATAAAGGCATTTATATTTAGATCTACTGTTTACTTGTTTTTATGAAATTATTTTCCACAGCTATTATACAAGATCGGCCAGGCGCTAACCAGAACGCTCATATAACATTCCACTTTGCGCGCCTATAATGTAACGCACTACTTCAATCATGTAAACATTTCATTTAGTGACTTGTGTACAAAATCGTTTTATAGCGCCTGGGGACCAAGCAGCATGTACAGACGGATATTTTCTCCACCCACTCTTCCCTTGTTTTCGGATCTTACTTTACTTTCAAGAATGAAATTTACAATCATTACGCAAGAATGGGCAGAATAATTCATGTCACTGACGCCAGGTGCAATACTAGACAAATGACTTTAAGACAAAGTAGGATTACTCTTTGGAATTCTCTTGACACTGCTATCGTCCATGCATGCTGCATGCATCACTCCAATCTATCCTGAAAATTTTTAATTATTTCTTGTTTAATGAAATGACTGAATGATCTATATATTATATGCTTTATCAAAAAAGAATATAATATTATTTTATATAGAGTTTTTTTCCGCACAAACAGCAAATTAATAACTACTTAATTTCTCTATACTCAGTTGGATATGGAAATTAGTAATTAACAAAGCCTGTCAATTAAAATAACTAGGGTGATTCTAAATAAGGTGATTGATAATTAGCAAACTCTTTAAATGAAGTTGTTCTCTTCTTGATAAGGTGATTGGTAATTAACACACTCTCTCGAGCTTCTATATATGCATGCCAATCTCTTTCCGTATTCCTGTATTACAATATACACCAATAAAAAATACAAGTCTTATTGTAATTCTGGGTATGACAACACGTATAAATATGACTGTGCTTGTAAACAGGTTTTAAAATTATATTAAAATATTTCGGATTTATTTGATTTGCCCACAGTTAAGAGACTTAGACTATTAACTGTGTTTTGACCGGGTTACTACCTTAAGCCATGTTGCCATCGTAACCAAGTTTGTGAGGAAGAGTCAAGCCATACTTTATTTTTTCTTGCCAGCCAGTGTTTTTTCGATGTTTATGTTTGTTTTTTCGTATTTTAGTCGGGGAAAAGTACATTTCGGGCTTGCGTGCACTAAGTCCAACGAAGTAAATTCACTGTATTTTACTATCTTTAGTATCGATAGCGTCGATTTTTCAACTTTTGGGTAGTGTTGTGGGTTTGTAAATTGTTTCGCGCCTTGGCTTGTCGCGAAAAAATAACTATTTTGCACCACGGTCAAGATATCGTAAAAAGCTGCTGTAGCGAATCAGATTGCAAGTAATAAAATATACCACTAGCCATACACAAATAAAAAATTAAATATATGTTATTTACCGGTTTGGAGTTTCGTACTGAAAAATATTTTCCCGAGGTCTCGATCCCGTCGGCCCGAGACCGATCGAGGGACAATAATTTTAAAGTACGCACCGACCTCGACTGTAAATAACGTATTTACTTTTTTGCTCGATGTATTCAATTCCTAAAAACTCCAGTTTTGCGAACTAGATTTGAAATTGGTTGCGTTTGTTATTTTAATCCAGTGCTTTAATCAAAGCAGGGCTGATATCTTGCTAAAACGACAAGATAAAAAGCCTTTATTTTTTATGTAATAGATGCATTTCTACTCAACAAGACAATAAAAAGGTAAAGCGACAAAAACTATTTATATTAAAAAGCTGCCCGCTCTTGTAGCCAATCAGATTGCAGGGAATAAAAAAATATCACTAAGCATGCATGCACAAATAAAAAAATGAATATAGATGTTCTTCGGCATCACGCAATATTGTGGCTATAGTAAATGGCCATTTACTTTCTTTGACTCTAATAGTACTTTTGATTTAGCCATAGTGACCTTACTCATATGGAAAGCTATTTTATGTGTATTGTTTAATTTTAACTCGTTGGCCACCGAACTACTTTCCAATATAATTCGGCACGTTTAAGAACTCAGGTTCTGCGTTGCTATATATGTCGTTAGAAACATTCTACAATACTGCTATTGTTCTATATATATAT